TTTCTTTTTTTTTTTGTTTCTTTTTGGGTGTGGTATGACAGATCATACGTGAAAATTGATCTTAAAATTCACAGCAGGGAAAAAAAGAAGAGATTCATAGCAGAATTTAAGGGTTAAAAGAGAGAGAGAGAGAGAGAGAGAGAGAGAGATTAGTTTTTTATTTTGTTTCTCTTTTTAAAAGTTTTTATTGAAGTTCATTTTGGACCATTTCTTGATTTATGTCTGTCTGACGCTGTCATCCCTTGGGCAGAGCCCATGCTAATCTTCTCTGTATTGTTCCAATTGGCAAGTACTTTTTTTTCTTTTTTTTTTCCCCAAATGTACCACGGACCGAAACTAATTCCATAAAATTATTGTCATGCGGCGGCGTTGTGGCCGAATGGAGTACAGATTTCATTTAGTTTTTATTATTTAAGTAAATTAAATTAATTGAATTTAATTCAAATTTGTGTCTACGCTTGATTTGAGCGAAAAGGGCCAAAAAAGGTAAGAAGAACAACCAGTATAGTTGTATCTAGCACAGTTTTAAGGCTTTGATTTCGATTGCCTCGGCTTTATAACTTGGTTGTTTGATATTTTCTTGTCGGCGTCCTCTGAATAGTGGCAGGGCTTATTAGAGAATAAGTTTAATTGTAGCTTCTTCTTCTTCTTCTTCTTCTTCTTCTTTGTTTGGCAAAGTTTTATTAGGTAGGTCTTAGTAAGGTAGGCTTTGGCGGTACTGCGGTCCAACGAAGTCTCGGGTCTGCTTCTCAACACGATAACTTCCGTACGAAGTGTCGTAACACCTGACCTTGAACCCTGCTTGGCCCCCGGGGGGTCCGTGGTTCTATACTGAGTCAGACCCCAGCTGCACCTTTGTCAGTGACAGAGCTATTTTCTTTGAGATGTCGATGGACCCGGTATTGGCTCCTGTTTTCGGGAGCCCGGTGGAATCTGCTACCAGCTTCATTTTGTTGGGGACTCAGGTACGCTATGTACCGGCGGTACCGGGACTCTTGTTGGTACCTCGGTACGCAATTCTTGTGTTTGGTCAGTTGCACACCATTCGGTACCTGAAGCGCTGGAATATATAGGTAATGATTGCATAGCACAAATCCTCTTTGGGTCCTACGTTGGTTTGGTCGGTGACGTTTCCGAAGATGTGAGCGGAGAAACAGCGGAGGTGGGTTGGCGGGAAGTACGGAATTTGACGAGGGAGATGTCTGGCTGTTTCCCCTGAAGAGGACCGTGTGGCGATGGTCGAAACCGGTCGGGGTGCCATACCCACCGGCTATTGCAATCTTGTACGAGTTCATTGTACGGAGTTTTTCGTTATGTTTTCTAATCACTTCTTGTGTGCTGAGACTCGACTACTCGACCTCTAATCACTATTTGTGTTTGGATTTCCTACAGGAATCTCCTTTCAAATCACCATATTCAGGCCCGTAAACTGATCAGAAGACTCCGAATAATTTTATTTTTTTTAAGGTCAACGTCGTCCTTTCGATTCCCGCGGCCTCCTGGGGGTATGCTTTGCACTCACCAGCGGCGACTGTTGGCTTGGGCCTCCTGGCTGGTTGTGGAAGTAATTGGTTCTTTTTTCCAGCCCGTGCCGGGTGTTAGGAGTTTGGGTACTGCTCCCCGCGCAGAGGAGAGGTAGGCGGGCATAAACCCATAACCTTGGGATTGCTTAGCCCAGGCTCATGAATTTAAACCAGGCCGTTGACGCGGTGGCTGAATCGGTGTGCCGCGCGGGTCCATATGTATTTGCAGCAGAGGGGGCCCAGAGGGGCCCTAAGAGCGCCTGGGTTACAGGTGGTTCAGGCTTTGTCCCAAAAACATCCATAGGTAGGTGGTGTCCCTAAGCTGTTGTCACCTTGGTGGGGCTTGCGGGTGGGGTATAAATATAGGTAGCTCGACCAAGGTAAAATAGAGAAAAAAATTCTAATAGGCTAGTCATAGGGTATGTAAAAAAAAAAAAAAAAAAAAAAAAAAAACACAACTGTCCCCTCGACCGAGGTAAAATAGAGAAGAAAATTCTAATAGGCTAGTAATAGGGTATGTAAAAATAAAAAAATAAAAAATAAAAAAAAAAGAAGAAGAAGAAGAAGAAGAAAAAGACAACTGTCCCCTCGAGCGAAGGTAAAATAGAGAAGAAAATTCTAATAGGGTATGTAAAAAACACAACTGTCCACCGTACGAAGAGATGACAGCTTCTTCTTTTTTTTATGTGTGCGCATAAATTGTCGTTTATGTTTTTTAATATTTTTTTTGAACCTTGGAGTTTTTAAACTGATCAGAACAGAGGCAACATACACTACACCTGATCCTAGTCATAATGCCGGGAGAGATACAAGTGAGTTCTTCTTTTTATTGTTGTTGTGCCAAGTTATTTGTCCTTTTTTTTCCTTCTTTTTCCTTCTTTTTTTTTTTTTTCTTTTTTTTTTGTTGTCCTCATTTTCCACAGCTACCGCACTTTTAAGATCGTGTACTCATTTCCTGCGTATTTCCTGTGCTTTTTCTGTGCATTTTTTTCTGTGCATTTTTTCTGTGCACTTTTTTATTTGCATTTTTTCTGTGCATTTTCTACTGAAGGATCATGTCGATGCGTTGATTGCGATAAAGTTGGAGAGGCATAAGAACTTGTCAGAGGAGGCTTCGTATCATTGGCGAGAGATAGACTACGGGACTTTCCAATTCGATCGCAGGGATCGTGAGGTAACTACTCTACTCGGGAGTGTGTGTTTTTTTTTTTTTTTTTTCCGTTGAAAAGCAGCGCGTAGTTCTGCTCTTCACTTTTTTGTTTTTTTGCATATTTATCTGACGAGGTTTTTTACATTTTCACCTTTCTTGGCTGGTCAGTGTTTGTCCGATTCAGCTTTCCACAAAACACATTGTGACGTTGTGGCTGCGAGCTCTTTTTTCTTCGTTTGCTCTGCTCTTCTTCGTCCTCTTTTTTTTTCCTTTTCTTTTCCTTTTCATGGTAACCGGAAGTGCTTGCGATTCAAGTTTTACCTGCGGAGTTTTTTTTTTTTTGGGAAGGTATCATACTATCCTTATTGGTAATGGGCTCGAGCTAATGTTTTGTTCAACCCCTCTCCCCCCCCCCCCCCCCCCCCAAAAAAAAAAAAAAAAGTGATGTTTGTTGTCTTATCTTTCATAAATGATATGGTAATGGGCTGGAGCTAATGTCTCAGCTGCATGCCCTTTTCGTGGCAAATAATTGCTTTGTGTTAGCTTGCTTACTCATTATCCTTTTCTTCTCTTTTTTTTCCCGAAAAGCTGTCTTTTTTTTTTTTTTACCGAATTGCTGTCTTTTGACTCTTTTCCTCATTGGGGGACAGCTCGTCAAACAGAGCTGCCCCTTAAAACCGTAGGCAAATATGAAAGGGACTCGGGACCCGTTTTCCGGCTATCAAAAAGAATTTAAAGAATGCTCCTTTCGTTTTTGAAATTCTTTACCGAATTTAAAATTAAAAAATTGAGATAAAAAAATATTTTTTGAATTATTTTTCTATTTTTTAAAATTTCTTTTGGCCCGGCCGGGCAAGTGGTCCATGATCTTTTTTCTTCTTTTTTTGTTTTCACTCAAAGCTTTTATTATGCAATTGAGGAAACTGGCCTGACGTACCTCGCAAGAGTGGTTTTCTTTTTTTTTTTTTTTTTCAATCAGGACTTCCTGCCCTTGGATCAATCCATCCGTGCAGGCACGGAATCGAACCGGCACCCTTTTGTTGAATCTGCTGCTCGATCTGTCCTCCCATCTTTTTTTTCTTTTCTTTTTTCTTTTTTTTTTGGGTTGATGATCTTATGTTGAATCTGCTGCTGGATCTGTCCTCCCACCTTTTTTTTTTTTTTTTTTTTTTGGGTCATGACAGGTTGCTGCCCTGAGGGAAGTCAAGAAAGCTGATTTACTGGATTTTTACGCCAGCTACGTTGCGCCAGGTGGCAGTCAGCGTCGCAAGTTGAGCATCCGCGTAAACAGCATTTTGGCCGCCAAGAAGCAATCCGCGGACCGATCGCCGTCGCCGTTGTCGAATGGGGGCGGTGCGGCAATTGCGGTAGTTTCTGCAGAGGAGGGCCCAGCCTCCGCGGTGCCAAATGGTGGTCTCGTCGGAACCTCGCCAGCTGGAACTCTAGCGACAGACGACGCCGGCGCTGTATCTTCGGCGACCAACGGGAGCATAGAGGAGGAGGAGGAGGAGGAGGAGGAGGGAAGCTACGAAGGGCGGCAGTCGATGAGCAGGGGTGGTGGTGATGAGCAAGGGAATCCGGATCCGCCGTCGGTTTCTGACGACAGCGACCTTGCATGTCAATTGCGTCCGATTGATGATAGGTTGATGGGTCATGACGGAAAGACCACGCCGAGCGGGACGACGAGTTATGAAGAGACACATCCGATCTCCAATATCTACAGCTGGAAGCGATCGCAGCAGCTGTACGAGTCGCTCAAAGGCCGGCACCCTGAGCAAGCAGTTTTGAGCATGTAATTAATAATCGGGGGGCCTTATAACTCGCCTGAAAAGCTGAAAATAGGAATACTCCGAAACAGGAATTACGTGGTCAAAATTGTTTTGAAAAAACTGGAAAGTACTCCGAAATTTTAATTTTGTATTTTACTATTTTTAAATATGAAATTTTAAATTTTAAATTTTAAAATTTTGAACAGTCAGGTCTGTGATTGGGGAACGAAACGCTTTCTGAAGTTGTGATAGGTTCTCGCCATAGGAGTAGTAGGAGCGAAAGCGCAACTGGAAAAGTGCCGTGACAGCAGCCACAGTTCTCTCTATAAGGAATTCTTGGTGAGCCGCCATGAGCGTTCTTTTTGACAGTTTTGAATTTTGAATGTCGGAATTTTCCCTTCTTTTTTTTTTTTTCGGGGTCAGAGTGCATCATATCCTAAATCATTTCTTGGAGAAAAAATATTTGCAATTCTCGCAATTAGTATTCGGGATAATTCAGCCTAATTCAGAATCAGACCCACTCACACAGTTTAGGAGGAAGGAGGAGGTGTATTCGCAGCCTCTTTGAGACACTGACATTCACGTGGCTCCAATTTTTTCTTTTTTTCTGTTTCCTATTTCACAATAGTCCTTTTCCACTACCTTGCAAGATTTTTTTTTTTTTAACTTTTTTCAAATTTTTTGAAAAATTTTCCTAATTTCTAGCGACGCAATTTTCTCTGAAATTTATAGACTTTCGTGACTTCGTCACGGCATCGGGGCCGTGTGACTTTTCTGTTATTCTATGCAGTGGACCGCACTAGTTAGCAAGCTGGAGAGAGAGAGAGAGAGAGAGAGAGAGAGAGAGAGGATGGTAATGTTGGCAGTTTTCATCTCCGGTCTTGTTTAACTAGGTTTTGAAGTTTGTATGCAAAAACCTGCTTCCTCACTATTGATGAAAAGTGTTGCCTATTTGAGCGGACGAGCTGGAGTTACATTCTTAAAAGGGACTCGTTCAATGACTGGCTGCGGCAAAGCACGCGATAACGGAATGGAGGATTTCATAGTTTTCATTTTAGTAGATGATTTTCATTTAGAAGATGACGTGTGTGCTGCTTATGATTATGGTTGTGAACTTGTGATGATGAAGGTGAGGGTGGTTTCAGGTAATAGTGGTAGGGGAGGGGCCAGTAGCGGGTGGAGAGCAGAAGATAGAAACCAGAGGGCAAAGGATGGAGGGTGGGAGATGGAGGGGGCGGTGGATGGACGATGGAGGGCAGAGGATGGACGATGGAGGGCGGAGGATGGAAGGTGGAAAATGGAGGCGGAGAAGGATAGACGATGGAGGGTGGAGAATGGAGGGTGGAAAATGGAGGGGGAGGAGGATGGACGATGGAGGACAGGATGGAGGATGGAGGGTGGAAAATGGAGAAGGGAGGATAGAGGTGGGGGGGGAGGATGGACGATGGAGGGCAGAAGATTGAGGATGGAAAATGGAGGATAGGGCGGGGGGGGGAGGATGGACGATGGAGGGTGGAAAATGGAGGATGGTAGCTTCTGTTTCTTGCATCTCAAGACCTCAATGTTGTTGTTTTTTAAACTGACTAGGTGCTCTGCTTTGGCTCGGGATTAAAAACAATCATATGGGTTTTCTTGGTAGGGAGTTTGGGAGTGAAGGAGAAACAGTTCTGGTGTTAAAGAACTTTAAAAAAGGAAATGTGAATCATATTGCCTCTTTCCCTTTTTAACTGTTTGGTCATGGAAATTCACCCCGTTAATTTATTTGACGAACATTGCCACATAAGTGACATAAGCAAGTTTTATTTTATTATCTATCTATATCTATCTATGGGGGTGGCACTTATTTTTTTATTTTTTTATTTTTTAATCAGTTTTGGGCAAACCTTTCAAGTTTCAACAATCTAATATGATAGTAATATCTCTTATCATCTATCATATTTTGTTGAAGATATCATTTTTTTTTTCATTATTTTTGTTAATTAATAATTTATCACTTTCCAATTTATGCTGCAGAACATCGTCTTTCTTCAGGAATAGCCTTGCCCATAGGAAGTACTACCATAGCTCAAGGCTTGGGGGGGGGTGAGGGGGGGGAGGGGCCGGGGGGGGGCACGAGGGGTGAAGCAATGAGACAGACGTTGGGGTGTGGCCTGAAAGATTGGCTTTGTCCGGAGGGGGGTTCAGGATGGGGAAAGAAAGAATCACAAAGCAACAAACGAAGTAGATAGAGTTGAAGAGAGCATGTGTGTGTGTGTGTGTGTGTGTGTGTGTGTGTGTGTGTGTGAGAGAGAGAGAGAGAGAGAGAGAGAGAGAGAGAGAGAGAGATTGGAGCTGGGGGTGGGGAAAAAAGTATTATAAAAAAAGTTTTAAGAGAAGGAGAAAGATTTGAAAGGAAAACAAAAAATTTGGAGGGGTGGATTTGCGCCGTCCGGGGGACGGGCGGGGTTGTACCAGGGGGTCGTACTTTGCCTATCACACCACTTCACAACCGCTGGGTGCGCCTACCGCACTATGGTCCTTGTTGTGGTCCTCGTAGACTTTGTGGTAGCAGTCCTGAATTTGTGTTTGCCTTCGCCTGCCTGTACTGGATCTCTCGTGAACCCCAGCCCATCATCAGATCTGCACAGCATGTTTTGGTCCTTTTGGATTAAAAAGAAAAAAAAAAGAAGGGAATTCCAGAATCCAGATGATACTCCCGGAAATTGTCGTGTTTCAGGCAACTGGGAATGGTAAGTTTTTTTTTTTTTTTTTTTTTTTCAAGAAAACGTCCAGGGCTGAGGGGCTAAGTGGTGATATGAGCAGACACCTCTAGCACTACCGGGGAGCCTCTATCTGTTGGTGGGGGGAGCAGGACCTGCTGGGGGGAAAGGGGGCAAAAAAAAAAAAAAGGGAACGTTTTTTTTTTTTTTTTTAAAGGGTGACGGTCTTGAGAAATCACCGTTGAGCTGACCCGCCGCTGGCAATTTAGCAATATTTGGTTTTACGCATCAATTTCCGTCATCGTCTGGATTCGAACTCCGGTCTATATTTCAATACTCCATGGGTGTACCCACTGAGCTAGGCTCTCGGGTAGACCTCTCCGGGAACGGTACTTCTTTTCTACCCTTTTTCTAATCGGTGAATTTGCGTTTTAATCATGGCTACTGTGGACCTGAACACCAGACCGATTGGGATGTCCGGCAAGATCTTTGTCTAGTAAACTCCGGATCATCCGGGTTGACCCCGGCCCCCTCGCCGAAGAAAAAAAAAAACGCTTTTATTTTGTAGTTCGTATTTGTATTGCGATGCTGCATAACATGTCGTTTTCGAAGTTTTTTGAACTTTTTTCAGATTTTATTTTTGTCTGAAGTTGGAATTTTTATCTCAGCCCGGGAGCGAGATCTGCACCCAGACCATCCGTTCCGCGGATTGCAGCCATGGTCAGGGGGGGGAGGAAGAAATTGCTGGGCAAGTTGGTGATAAGAGCAGCCCGTGATAGTAGCACACCCCGTGTTTGCAGGCCCCAGTCTACGGGCGGGGGGAGCAACGCCTGCTTGAAAACGGGTCCAGCGGCCCTTAAAAGCACCACCGCTTAGACTCCTCCTGAAATATTGGAGGCTTGGCCCGATGATGTCCGCCGTTGATAGATCTCATCAGCAGCCGTTGTTTCGTTTCAGCCTCCTAAAAAGAGTCGGGGGCCAGCCGGCGACCCTCATGGGAAAAGGTTTGCAGCCCCAGTCTATGGGTGGGGGGAGCAACACCTGCCTGAAAACAGGTCCGGCGGCCCTTAAAAGCACCACCACCTTTCCCGCAGTTGGGAAACTGGGAAAATAGCCTCCCCCTAAAATATTGGAGGTTTGGCCCGATGATATCGGCCGTTGATAGATCTCATCAGCGGCCGTTGTTTCGTTTCGGCCTCCTAAAGAATCGGGGGCCAGACGGTGACCCTCATGGGAAAAGGTAGTGGTCGTCCAACAGAAACAAGGCACAGATTAGAACCTTGAGTTTTACCAACTCAGCAGCAAAAGCCAGCTGAACTTGCTGAAGTGCAAACTGCCTTCGTATCACCCTGAAGCTTTTTTTTTTTTTTTTTTTTTTTGAAGAAATTCTATGTGTGCGTCTTCCTTTTTTTTGGAAGCAACTGCTGTTTCATTTAAACCACCAGTAGTTGGCCCAACTATCGGCTGCGGCGCTTCCCCGTTAACGCGCCGCGCCTTTAGGGCTTCGGGGTACCGGACCACAATGGCTGGAAGCTCCAGCCAAAAAGAAATCAAAACGGTACCTCGGGGCTTCGGCAAAAATTGGCGCGCAGGGGCATTCCAGGCTCGGAATCGATAGCTGGGCCAAGTACTGGTGGTTTAAACAATTTCAAACCTCAGGCGATTGAAGGTTTGAAATCGTCGATTGAAATCGTTTGAAAATTGAAAGCAATTCTACCAAACGCGCTTCGTAAGGAACATGGAATCTCGAACCGGGGAATAAGAACACTGCCTTGTCTTTACTCAGCATCAGTTCTTCTCCGGAAAAAAAAAAGAAAAGAAAAAGGAAGAAAGATAGATGATCCAGGGAAAGCATCTCACGAGTCGATCACAAGAATCAAACGCGCGACCTCCCTCTTGGGAGGGAAGCACTCAACCAAACGGCTAAGTGGACTGGGGTGAAAGTTAAGCCCCAAGATGAGCACTTAACCCCACCCCAGCACGACTATCTCCGCGACCCGGTGTGCCCAGTCACACACATACTCAACCACAACCACCACACAATGTTTAACCGCACTGCAGGTTGCTACGCAAGTCGATGCAGGGAAATCGTCTCACGAGTCGATCACAAGAATCGAACGTGCGACCTCCCTTTTGGGAGGCAAACACTCAACCAAACGGCTAAGTGGACTGGGGTGAAAGTTAAGCCCCAAGATGAGCACTTAACCCCAAACGGTCATGATGATGATGACCGCCAAACACACGACTGATGATGAAGTGTCCCATGTGGTCATCAGGGGCTCAAAGAAGGGGGGGGGGGGGGGGGGGGGGACAAGTAAAGAAAGGAATTTTTTGGTGGCTTTGCATGTGGAATGGGAAAGGGTGGTTGCACACGCGCAATGAGATGGGATGTTGCACCTGATTGGAAAGAAGTGGGCATGTAGTAAGTTGCCTCTTCGGTCCCTTAGGGACCCCCAGGTATAACATTTCACGAGCTACCATTGCCTCTCATAAGATTGACCTGAAATTGTCAATTCCCTTCCAAGCCAAAACATTGCATCTCCACAAGAGCGAGCTCAGAAGGGAGAAAAGGATCTGCAAAAAAGATTGGATCTCTGAGAGTAGCTCGTGAGTGAGGTGTAAACCAGTCCTTGAAGATGAGTTTGAAGTCCCTTTTGACGGATCCCTCCCTTCCCCCTTCCCTTGGCCATATCACCTCCCCCAGGCTCTTTCCCCCAGTACCCCCCAGCCAGTTTACAGTAAAGTTATGAATTGCCTTGTCGATGTCTTTCTTTTGTTGACAATTACGTAATTTGGATGTGACGGCCACCCATTGGGCTATGATCTCTGTTGGACAATTTGTACAACCATCTTCGATCCTTCCAGATTTACCTCGTCTCGTACTAAAACACACCTTTTATACCCCAGTGTCCATAAAACAGTTTTTCTACCTATTTCAAAAAAATTGAGTTGGAAATTGGAAAGCCCTAGGTCATGTGGGGACCAGTGCCCTAAGAGGATTGCCCTCCAATCCTATGGCCAGTTTATATCCGTTAGTTCCCGCCATACGCAATCCCACCTGCGCCATGTTAATATTGAACTGGGGCATTGCATAAAAATATGCTCCCTTCCTGTTCCAAATAAGAGTGATCAATAATCCAAACATTTGTGGAGAGACGGCGCTGTACAATTTGCCACTGCAACGAAGAAATGTCTTATATTTTTAAAATTTTTTATGTCCTTGAGTAAATTTATATCTAAATTCAGGTGCTTAGAGCATCTCTCTCGCAGAATCACCTCAATGTTCACCTTTGGTCGTAGCAGTTTGTATGCCGCTTTCACAGTGATTGACTGCAGGGTCCTTGGTCTGCCCCTTTTGCTAGTTTGCCAGACCCATTCTGCCCGGTCTATTGGAAGTCCCGGGAGGGGAAACTTTGGATGAAAGACTTTCCAACCCTTTGTAGCGGAGATGAGGAGTCTAACCCGATAGAGGTGTGAAGGAGGAAAAAAACAAACTGGATCCGAAGGAGATCGAATCAGAAAATGATCTCTGTCCATTTAGAAAATATTTATTAGAGAGCTCTGTGGGAGGTTGTGCACCACTTGACCTACCACCCCTTGACCATCTGGCCAAAACCCAACCACCCAATCTCCTTCCCTAATCTTAGACGCCTTTTTCAGAGTTCTCACCCAGGACAAGGGTAAGGAGAAAATTATATGATCCAAGTTTTGATTGAGATTATGAGCATAACGAAGTGTATATCTCAATTGCTCCGTCGTCTTCCAATCTTTGGAGCTTGGGTCTCATAAGTCTTTGATTCTTATAATTCCTCTTTTGACCAGTGAGACCAGGGAGGGAATGAACTTTTGTAGATGCAGCCGTTTGCATCTTTTTTTTTTTTTTTTTTTTTTTTTTTTTTTGAGAAACGCCCCCACGCATCTA